ACATACTCACACACACACACACACACACACACACACACACACAGACACACACACACGGAATTAATGCCGAGACAAACACTAGCGGAACCGGTCTAGGCCACTTTGAGATGGCTGCGCTGCTTGGGGGGTTTGGGCAGGGGTTTGAGGGAGGCCGGGATGGGGAGCTTGTCCAGGCTCTTGGGGAACTGCTCGGGCGGCAGCTGCGCCAGGATCCTCTGCATAGCGATGAGGAAGAGCGGCGCCGGGTCCCGTCCGATGAGGTAGCTGAGCTTGTCCTCCCCGAGCACCTTGGACCAGCGTTCGGGCTCTTTCCGCAGGGAGCTCTTCATTTTGAAACGCATCTCCGGCATGAACATCAGCAGGTTGTCCAAGCAGGACTTCTTGGCCCCTACATTCACCTTGGAGTCCCACAGCTGCTGCAGAATGACGTCGAGCGGCGTCATGCCGTTGTGGTCCACGGCCTGCGGGGACGCGCCGTTGCCTAGCAGCAGCATGACGGCGTCCGCGCGCAGCAGCTCGCAGGCCAAGTGCAGCGGGGTCTTGCCGTCCTCCAGGTGGAAGCAGCCGCCGCGGTTCATGTAGGAGCGCAGGCCCGGCTGCCGATGCGCCACCTGCAGAATGTGGCCCAGTATGTCCCGCCTGTCGTAGCGCACGGCCATGGCTAGGTGCGGCGCGGAGGACGGGCAGCAGCAGAAGCGATCCCCGGGCATGGCCAGCGCCTCGTGCGCATACTGGCTCAGCAGGAACTGCGCGTACGCCCGGTGGTCGTGTACGATCGCGTAGAGCAGCGCCTCGGACGGGCTGTACGTCCTCTGCTTGGCGTCCTCCTCCCAGTAAAACGTCTCCATGGTGCGCATGTCCTCGAGCATCCACACGGGCTTCAGGTCCCGCACCGCCTGATAGAACAGGAACGAGATGATCTTGTGCTGCTTGCGCTCGTCGTCCATCTGGGCGCTGACGGGATTCAGGCGGAGAGCGTCATTCTGTGCGCGCAGCCAGACGAGATTCGGCGGAGCTCATGTTGCTTCAGTCGCTCAGCAGCGATGCGTCTGTCACTGACCCCCCTCGCCGCAGTGAGAGCGCAGTGCGCATGCGCGGACTCTCCCGGCTCGCTTGCTGCATGCGCACAGAACAATTATTTTCGCCCAGTTGCTCCTTTTGTCATCGCTGTGGTTTGTGAAAAGGAATTCATCCACACATTTCCACAAAGTAGGTTTTTGGTGACTCTGGGGGGGAAAAAAAAGCCCTTTTCATATTAAGTTTATAATGATTTTACAGTTTTTTTAATTGCTTAGGCACTAACAGTGGTGCTTGAGGCGCACTCAGTGAAACCATTCATTCATACACCTAATCTTTAGACCAAGTCTGCAACACTACATGCACATTACATGCTTTAAACTCAGTTTGCTATTGTAAAACAAACTTTTCGCAAAACCATAAACACAGTTCTCTACATTATACACATAAGAAATGAACAACTCTTGTGTTTCATTTGGGAAACACTGTCATTTACATGCCACATTTACTGAAGAGCTACAGCCAGGGATCATGAGTGAAAACACTTAACACACCATTTCTTCACCTAGAAATCAAAACTCAGTGTTTGGAGAAATATTTTTTTACCCCCTTACATTTCTGTTTGGCTCAGTCTCTGTACTGTATAGTATACACACACACACACACACTCACACACACACACACACACACACACACACACACACACACACACACACACACACACAAAATAAATACATCAAGCTGTCATGTCATGTACTCTTGGAGGGCCCCTGGTGGCCACGGAGGCCCCAAGCAGCCGTTTAGTTTCTCTTATGCCTTGGGCCAGCTCTGGTCATGTCAGAAAGTCACATTTATTTCTAAAGCACTTTATACAATATAGATAAACAGCAGCTTCACAATAGTATCACATTCACATTCTGCTGTAAAGCAGCTCTAACATGTCAATAATGTCAGTATAGAGCTCAAGAATGTTCAGTGTTGATTCAGTTCAGTTGCATAACTGTGTAAAATGTGAATGTGCGAGTGCTGTGACAAACTCCTGTGTTCCACTGCACTCTGAACAAGCAGAAGACACACGAGAGCATTGTTTTACATTCTTCACATCTGTGTGTAGTTTGGCGTGTATGAGGCTAATTATTTTATGCTTGAGTGTACAGTTACTATGCAAAATACCATTTTTAGAAGAGTTAACAGTTTTGAAAGAAGTGTTTGCTTTTGCAAGATATTTGTGACGTTTTGCATGTTGTGTGTGTGTTTTGTGGTTTTGTGTGTAGAGTTTTGAGAAATGAGTCATAGTTTAAAAAACTGTGTTAACATTTTTATTTATCTTATTCATTGCAAGGTGTGACATTAAAAAATGCACATTTTCAAAGAAATTACCTTCCTTTTTATTATAAAGAAAAATCTTGACATACTGGATTTGAATTCTTTAAAAAAAAAACTCTGAAAAGTAATTTGCTTCTGTGGTGTAATGCACTACTGATAAGAAAATAATATAACACGCTTCAGTTCATTTCAGAATGTCATGTGATGCAGTCCTCTTAGAAAAGTCTGTGTATTGTTTTTATCCTTTAACTGTGTCTTTACCCTGTGCTGGTGTGGATGTTAATAATAGTCGACCATTTATTTCAATAAACTCTGGCAGACACCTGTTCTCATATTGTGAGTTTCTGAATAAATATACCAGTTCCTTCACGAGGATTTGCTGTGGTAATGACTCCATTCCTTGCTGTTAAAAATTTCAGTTTGATCTGAGATCATTTTGATAGTGACAGGAAATATCTTTTTCTTTGTTCCAGAACAGGAGAATTAGACAGATCTTTCTGTTTTAACATTGCTTTCTTAAAAAAAAGGATATTTCCTCTATGATATTGATTCCCTGTGCTGTGAATCTGAGCCTCAGGTCTACTGAATCTGCACACAAAGCATGAGATCCAGATCACATCTTCTGTTGTCCAGTCCTTCAGCTGTTTCACATACTCGTGCCTTTGTGTCAGACTCCTCTTACCTCTCATTAATAAAGCATTGTCACCTGAAAAATACCACTGCCTGGTTGTTGTTTCTACACTATTAGAGTCTGATAAAACCCCAGAAGAACAGCACTCTATTCTCAAACCATATGTGCAGCATGCGTCATTCAGAAAGCCACACACACATCTCACTTCTTTCTCATTTTGATTCAAGCAACTGAAGGTCTTGATCACGACTGCATGCTTGTAGTGTGTACAGGTGTAACGGCGTGCATAATATAGAATTTTAACTATAAAATTATTTTTTAGAATTCAGAAATACTTATAGAGTATATGTCAATGACATTCTGAAATTTATGTTCATTATAATTAAAAATTTTCATTACAGTTTTTTTTTCAATCGCTTGGACATTTTTCAACACAGGTGACTTTATCAAAGCAAGCACAGCATCAGTGTCTGTGGATAAACTGTGGATCATTATCATTGCTTTGGCACAAAATGCATTCACTGACCACATCCTTCAAATTACATGCATTCTTTCTCACTTCGACACAAACACCAGCAAAACTTCATGTACTACACAAGCCAGTTTGCACATGTTTACACACTGCTTTCAAAACTGTAAAACTTAAGTTCAAGCACAGTACAAAACCGAATAAGACAGAAATTTGCAACATTCTACAGTAATATCATAATAGAATACAGTTTTTCTCGATTTCTAACACACCATAGCGGATTCATTTGGCCCAATTTTCCAAACCATTCATACAGTTCTCCAAACAAAGACACGTTTCTCAAAACTTTTAACACATTTCACCAGTTTGCACACACACGTTCTAATTTGCTGTGTTTTCTGCAAAACTCTACACAAGACCGGCATCATTTTGCACAGGTTTAACCATGTTCTCATTCAGAAAACACAAACACACAATATAATTAACTCAAGCATAAAAAATGAACTCAAACAGCACACATTTATCGCTGTGTGAACATTCAGCAGCAAAACTGATGACACACCGGTCAGAATCTCAGGATGATATGAACAAGAGCACAGCTGATTATGAGTTTTGGAAAATGAATCCTGGTAGTGCGAGACAAAGAGGAAGAGGAAGGGAAAATAAAAGAAAGGGGATGAGGTCAAAGGTCATTAGCTCCTGATGAAATACACAGCACTCTAGTTGAGCATGTTCTTCTGCATGCACTGGTCATGAGGGAAGTTAGCCTACAGCTCATCTACAAGGTTTCAATACTACTTACACATACAATATACAGTTTTTTACGATTGCTTACACACTAAAACCATTTTGCAAATGATCTGAAGTGTTGTGCTACTTTGGTGTAGGGTTGTGTTAATTGTGTGTAGTGTTTTGACAAACCGGGCCCTGTTTTCAAAATTGTGCTTAAGCAATCGTAAAAAAATGTAATTACAGTACATAGCAGCAGTACTTCAGAAGAGAGAGCTTTCATTGTTCTATGTACAGTAAATACTCTAGCACGTTATACACCCTCAAACTCATTACTGTTGGACTGATTTGTAGCCAAGTATGTACTGTATTTGTGCAGAACTGAGAGACGACTGTCTAGGGGACGCAGAGAAACTGTTATAGTATAACCAATGAGGATATTACCATTACTGTAATGCAACTTGGCAGAGGGTGCTTCATTTCTTTCTTTATTTACAGTAACTGGCAGTGTAATAACTGACTTCTTGTGCTTTTCATCTGTAAGATCTCTTTACAGTAGTGTAATGAAAGCAAACTTTTCTAACAGTTGTCTTTTTCGATTGCTAACATCCCTTTGTCTAATCTTTCAAAACTCTAAACACAATTAGCACAACATCCGTCTGTTGTGACCATATTAACACAATCCATGTTGTTTTCACACAATACAGTCAGTTACCATGTTCCTAAAATGCTTACATTTTCTTTTCATACAAGCTTACCAAAAAACCAAAATCATGGATGTTTTTACAGATCCAGCTAGGCGAAGAGATAATGTATAGTATGTTTACTGTAGTATTTTCTGTACAATATTGTCAGTTTTTTCAGATTATTTTTTATGTTTGTTGTTGTTGTTATTTACTGTAATTGTAACCTGTACTGGATACAGTATTTTACGTTTGTCTGTTGTTTGCTGAGCTAACAGTGTTATGCACACTACTGTAGTAGCATGACAACTGGGACATGTTTTGTTGTGATTCTCCATGTTGACTGATTTGGGTATATGGAGAGAAATCAATGATATTTTCGTCAGTCTGCAGCATTGGTCTTGTGTAGTGTTTGGTGAACTATTGTATAGTTGCACTTTCTCTGTGTACTTCATTTACAGTACTCTAATCACTGAGAATTAGACTTGCTAAAAGTGTTTTAGGTTAGCAACAGCAGTGTGTAACTGGTTCAAAAAGATTAAAGTCATATGAAATGTGTGTGTTTCATATGGTAACAAACTATTGTTTTGATAAAGTTGTGTATAGTTTTGACAAAAGTGTTCCATTTTGCAAATGATCTGAAGTGTTGTGCTACTTTGGTGTAGGGTTGTGTTAATTGTGTGTAGTGTTTTGACAAACCGGGCCCTGTTTTCAAAATTGTGCTTAAGCAATCGTAAAAAAATGTAATTACAGTACATAGCAGCAGTACTTCAGAAGAGAGAGCTTTCATTGTTCTATGTACAGTAAATACTCTAGCACGTTATACACCCTCAAACTCATTACTGTTGGACTGATTTGTAGCCAAGTATGTACTGTATTTGTGCAGAACTGAGAGATGACTGTCTAGGCGAGGCAGAGAAGTGTTTTGTCAGAAGAATAAGTTTTGTCAACAGAGCGCGTACACACCTCACGCACCGGAAGCCCTGCGCGCACCCAAAGACAGTTGGACATAGTGGTGTATTAGAGGTAAAAAATGATATAAATACTGTTCGGTTTCTGGCACAAACCGATCGTTTCGTGTCTTAGGACATCAGTGTGTCGTCACGAGCCGCAGGGTTTAATTTGGATTTGTCTGCGCATGTTTTTTTTCCTCTCATAGATTTTGTTACCATTGCCATGCATTATACGACTGATAGACTGCAACGGTTAAAGTTAAAAATCATCATTT